GCTGTGATTATGGGGTATAGAGGGGTACAGGCTCCAGCCTCACGGCTGGGATTATGGGGTATAGAGGGGTACGGGCACTAGCCTCACGCGGCTGTGATTATGGGGTATAGAGGGGTACAGGCTCCAGCCTCACGGCTGGGATTATGGGGTATAGAGGGGTACGGGCACTAGCCTCACGCGGCTGGGATTATGGTGTATAGAGGGGTACAGGCTCCAGCCTCACGGCTGGGATTATGGGGTATAGAGGGGTACAGGCTCCAGCCTCACGGCTGGGATTATGGTGTATAGAGGGGTACGGGCTCCAGCCTCACGCGGCTGGAATTATGGGGTATAGAGGGGTACGGGCACTAGCCTCAGGTGGCTGGAATGCCGTTAACTCTGTTATGCTACAGTAACTGTAATGGTACTAAACTGTTAATATGGCTCCATATTTAACATAAATGCTTCATTCACAGAAAGCTTAAAAACACACATTGCTGACAGCCTTAGTGTGTGATATTTCTGTGCCCCTGTGCGTGAGCTTCCTGCGATGTGCCGCAGCGTCCGGGACTCTCGCCACATTAAACCTCATATCTCCGAGGACAGGCTGTGGATCAGCTTCACCGTAAGCAGATTAGTGATTGTTAAAGGTGGGTGACAGCGAGATGAAAGCCTGGTGTTCCGCTCGAGGGGGGGCTTTCAGCTGCCCCCCCCCAGCTCTGTTGGACCTGCATCTGCTGGACATAGAGGTGAGCGAACGGGGTGCCGTGCCCACAGGTCAGGGACGCCCACAAACTGGAGGTCGGCCCATCTGCGCCGGTCGGGCTTGGTGGCTCACCAGCTGTACTGAGACAGATAATCCTGTGCTACTGTACCGCAGAAAAAGCTTCTCAATATAGTCAGTGTGGTGAAAAGGTGCCTCTAACATAAGCCGCCTTTCCACCAGCTCGTGCTGCCTTTGTTTGCAGGTGGCAGACCGGGAGTGACGGGGAGATCGATTACTTCCAGGAAGCAGTGATCCTGCTCCAAAAATGCAGCTGCTACTTGGAGAACATCCTGCTTTTATGACTTCAAACAATTGTCAATAAAAGTAATGCTTGTCTTTTGATCTTTGCTTTAATGTCTTACAAAGTATTTTTTTCCCATAACTTTTACTGTCATTTAAAAGCAGCAGACCAAACATTAATAACTGATATTGTTGCAGAAATGAAAGTGTTAAATGTCCACATATGTGATATGACTGTTCCTATTGGCTATACCTGTAATTCACTTTACTAACAATGACACTCTACACTTCCTATGCTGTTCTACAGGCTAGTTTATGTCATGCTGGTCAAAATGTATTGTACTGGTTCTCTGTTGAATAGTTTTACCCCCCAAAACATCTAGGTATTAGTTCATATAAGTCATTATATGCAAAAGGTTCGAACCAATTGTCATAATCTGTCAGACATATTCTCTATACATCTATTACAGTTTTTTATATAAATATGTCCTGAACTGATGAATTTCTCTCAGTTTAGTCTTGACTTTCGCCAATAGATGGGAATGTTTAAAGCATTAGATCGACCAGCGATGAATCAGTTCTCTAAATTAGCTCATGAACCTTCAGTTAGCCAACATACATTGACAGAAGCACAACACAATATCACACTTTGGCAATGGAAGAACAAGAGGGAAATTAACAGGGTCAGCAGCTAGTAAGAGGAAGAGGAGTAAGGCTGTGTGGTGGAAGGGTAGAGGAAGAGGAGGCCAAGACCAGAGGCAAGTTCCTGATGGAATAAGGGCCACAATTACGGACCGTGTCCTCAATCATGGCCTTACGATGACGAGGCTGCTCGAAGGCTGCAGCAGAATGTTAGGAGAACAACCGTGTCCTCAGTCATTCAAACGATTCATAGAGACAACAGGTATGTAATCTAACAATGTGCACTGTCCTCTAACACTGTATGCTAACTGCA